TATTATAATTTAATGAAATTTTTTCCATCTTTTCCACAAAACTAGTTGTAGTACTTAATACTTTGCCAAAATCTAGGTAAACTAAATTTGTAGCATTCCCCTTCTGCTAAGTGTGTCACCTGTCAAAAACAGAAATAAGTCTGGTGTGACTTGTTGATGAAACCATTCTGCCTCTTTTGTACCATTTCTCTACACCATTTCTTTTTCTAGATATTCTCTATCTCTTTACTAATAATGAGTTCTAGGCTTTTCTAAGGAATTGAAATCAGACCATGTGGCCTACAGTTTGAAAACTTTATTCTCTCTCTTTTTTAATTGAATCACCATTTGCCTTCTTCAGTTCTAAGACACTCTTCCATTCTTCATAATCTTTGCTTGGTCTAGGAACTCCTGGATGGCTCCACTGTTACTTTCACCTGCTGCTATCTCTGGGACCATGTGGTTTCTTTTATGCATTCGAGTAGTTATATGATACCATAGAATTCCCTACAGAGAACTGGAGTCTTTGTCCAATTAATTATCTCCTATATGTCCCTCCAGTCTCTTTTTGAAGGCCAAGTCCAAGAGTATAGCCCAGGTGTTAACGATTAGAAATGAAGAAATGCCTGTGAACTTTACCATCATAATAGGATTAAGTGGTATCTTAGAACGAGGCAAGTTCATATCTTCTTTTTGATGATGCCAGAACAAAAGCCTCATTCATCCCTGGTAATCATGTTAACATAGGGTTAACCTTACATATGGCTAATATTTTGAAACAATACCTTTAATTACTCTTGGGAATTGTGGAAGTTAGAAATGTGAAATGTAGATGAACTCCATTTTAAACAAATCTAGTATGTGAATATCCCAGTTTGCAAGACAGATTAATTAGGCATTAATATTTTGGGGTTTATGAAGTTTTCTCTTTATAAAAAGATTTATTTTAGAATTCTTTGAATAAGAAGTTCCCCTGGTATATTTCAGATACAATGTAATTTGCAAAATATTGTTTTTAACAATTTCAGAACTGTTTCAGAACACATTTGGTTAAGGTGAGGTACAGTTGGAAATTCAAGAGTACTTTAAGTGGTATTAGAGCCATATTGGGTTAATAGAGTAGAAGTCATATACTGAGATCCTAGTCTAGGGCTTCATGTAGTTAGTTATTGAGGTGACCTGAGCTTTTGAATGCTATGCCAGAAGAGCACAAGTTCTGGCAGGTACTGCAGAGCTGGAGAGGTTGCTCGTGTGTGACTGTGTATTGTCTGGAAATCAGCCTAAATTGACTTTTTTTGTCAACTTTTTAAAAAATGGGTTTTTTTGGCCATAGCCCCTAATGCCATCTACTAAAGTGTAGAAGAATTGTGTTCTGCATTGGTAGAGGAAGGGCTCTTACTGACATAATCATGGATTCTTAAAGTACTGAAGTAGTGTAAAGATGGGGGTCAGAAGTGTGTGGCATCTGTCCTTATCTTTTGAGGTCAAAACCATGTGTAGAATGATACTGTACTTTCCAGTAAAATTGTGTTGTGGTTTGTCCTTCGTTCTCGAAGAGGACCATGACATCAGGGAAATGATGACATGACTTGCAATTGGCTTTGATTTGAGTGAGGGAGGGCTATGCAAAGTCACCAGCCTCACTTTTTCCTCCAGAGCCACCTGGATCTAGTGGCCAGGTGTCTATCAGGATGACTGGAAATGGCCCAGGATGCAGTGGGCCTCCTGACTCAGAGTGAATGTGAATAGTAACTCTTTCTCTTTTGGCCAGCAACCCTGAGGCTGAGGGTCTTCTCCCAATCTGATTTTTTTTTTTTTTTATTAAAGGGGCCATCTCTTGACTCAGTTCTTAAAGAGGCCTATTCCCTGAATGGGTGTTGCCTTACTCAAAGTAAGAACCTGAAAGGACCTTAGCTTAAAAGGACCAAGGTCTCCTCCTGCATCCTGGGCCATCTCCAGTCCTGATGAGTATCTGGCCACTGGACACAGATGGCTTTGGAGGAGAAAGTGAGGCTGGTGACTTTTCACAGCCCTCTCTCAAATCAGTCAATTGCAAGTCATGCCATCAACTTCCTGATGTCATGGTCCTCTTCGAGAATGAAGAACAAACCACAATCTGTGAGTAGTTCAAACTACCTGAATGGGGACCCAGATGGCCAGTTCCAGTTGGGCAACTTGGCTCATCCTCACCTCAGGGTGTTCTGCCCAAAGGAACATAAAATTTTGATGGTCAAAAGCTAACTATTAACTTGGAGTTTACTGGCTAGATTTCTTTCTCAAAGACCAAGCCTTAAGCCCAATTCACTCTGGATCTCTTGGATTGGACCACAGTAGGTCCCTGCCCAATCACCACTTTCCAGTAAAATATTTCAATACCAAAAGAGGCAAAAAATAAAAATGCCAGATCCTTTTAAAATAACCATAACAAAATAGTTTAAACACAAGAAGAGTACAGTCTTAAGACTAGGTATGTAAAAATTTTAGAATAATAATATCTGCATCAGACAAATCATAGTTACAGGGATTAGAGCTGAAAGGAACCTTAGAAGTAATCAAGGGTGAATCCCTTCATTTTATAGATAAGGAAAATGAGGCCTAGGGAATTTAAGGGATTCATCCAAAATCATACTCAGGTAGATCGTAACAGTTTGTTTTATAAAGGTAAAAAAAAATTTTATGATGATAAGCTCTGCCATTTTGGAATTTAAGGGTAGCATTGTGATGTAAAAAAGAACAGTTGTTTTGGAATTGGGAGAATTAGACCATATGTTTAGTTGTGCCTCCAACTACCTGAGTGACCTTTGCAAATAATTTTATATCCTTATGCCTCAGTTTTCTCATAGGTGAAATAAGGTTTTGGGTCTAAAAATGATTATAAAGTGTGTCTTCTAACTCTGAATTTGAGTAGCAGTAATTAGGATTCTGATTAAGAATATTAGATACATGTTCATAGTAGAGACATTACTTCCTTGCATTTTTCTGTGGAGTTTTTAACCTTTGCAGATATTAACAAATCTGTTTAATGTATATTAGGCTTCTCCAAATACTTCGTTTTGTGGCCAGGTGTAAGGAAAAGCACTGGTATCTAAATTCAGCATTGAGTATTTTTATATATTAATGGTATCATGCTCTAAAACATCTTACTGTGTTTTTACTCCATAGATAAAGAATGCCTTTTGTAGGAAACATGAGAAAATTGAACCCTTTAGGATTTTTAGAAGTTTGGTGAGTGAAGAGCATTTACTCAGCACATCACTTTGGGATGTCTGCAGACAAGTAGTAATACTTTGCAGAGTCGTTTCCTTACTTTTTCAGAGTATGGCAGACAGTACATGAGTGAAAGGTTTTCTGACTTTAGTTTGGACAGGATGGAGAGTAGACAGCATATTTCTTGTTGCATATTCAAAAAATATCATTAAATTGGAAGTGAAGCTGAAGACAGAAGAAATGGAAAGAGAAAAGTTTAAAGAACCCAGGTAAGCATGATTTTAAAGAGTTTTCTGTAGACTTGTTTAAGGAAAACAAGTCTATAGAAAGTTTGGGTCTAAGACCCAGCTGAACCAAACCACATCATCCCAAGAGTGTTCATATATTAAACTGGAATGAAGACAACATTAAATGGAAAATGGAGCAGATGTCACTATTTTCTGTAACAATTTATTTTCATCATCAGTGGCAGTGGAACCAGCATATTTGGATTCTTAACACCTTGTTCTCTGACATACCGCACAAGGAAGTTAAAATGGCACTTGAAGTCAGAAGATTAAATCAGGAAGATGATCTGTGAACACCAAAGAAATTGTGTTGGAGGTGACAATCTTGAAGCACTGAGGAATCATTTTATAAGATATCTCAGGGTGGGAAGGATATCAAAGGAATGGAAAAATCATGGACAATAGTATCCATAACTTGAATTTGAGGAACAGAAAGGGCTGGTTATACTTTGGATATTTTTCAGTGCTTTCAACACTTCCAAGCACTTCCCTGGCACAGAGACCCATCTGTTTGACACCGATGTTCTTCTAGTGATGCTATGTGATTGTGAATCTTAGAAGACCAGTCTCTGAAAAATCAGAAGTTTCAGGAAACATGGAGAGTCATGTTGAGCAGATGTAGACTATAATATATTTCCAGTAATTCTGTAAGTCTTAGAAGTGGCATAATAAGGTCATTGAGGAGATGTATGATAAGGACAAGAATTAACAAGACTGAGGAAGTATTTGAGTGCTACAGTGGTCTGAAATATGAGAGACCTAGGAGAAGGCCTCCTGCAAACTAGCAGATCATCTGTGGAGGATGGATTATGAATGAGAATCACCTGTAATTCTGTGGAAGATGTTTAGATGCATTTTTATCTGGATTGATGGAGGGAATACCACGTAGATGTGATCATTGATTTGTTGTGCTGAAATGAAGTAAAGACATTAATTTCTAACTAAACATGATACATTAAAGAATAAGTACTATGAGAAGGGTAAGAGTAATTTTTCGGAGTTCATGAAAATGTGTTCTATTTTTATATATTCTTAAGTCACTTTCTGTAGAGATGAAATCTAAATCCAGACACAGTTTTGTTTTGGTACTATTCTTTTAAGCTCTAATGAATATGCTCTTAAGGTTGAAAAGCAAAGATAATTTTTAAAGAGAATTTTGTCAGAATTATGCATGTATTAAAAACTAAAAAGGGCTTTCTTTTAAAGGAAAAAGCAACAGTGTATTCTTAATGTGATTATTAATGATGTGTAAATATGTCAGAGATATGATTTTATGTGATACACTTGAAGTTTTAGATTGATCACGAAATTAAAATTTAGCTTATAAATGGTTATTGACATATTAACAGAGAAAGAGGGAAACCTTTGGAAATGGGAATATAGGAATTTGAATTTACTTTTGAAAAAGAAACTCAAATCAAGGCTTTCCTTTTTAGCTAAACTTCCAAAAAGGACTTTTTGAAATAAAGCATGATGGGAAATTTTTACTTCTAAAGCAATGGATTTTGTATTTGTTTTGTTTTTTAGGAGATATACTTAAAAGATGGAAGAACTGAAAGACTAAAGTTGGAACTTGAAAGGAAAGATGCTGAAATTCAGAAGTTGAAAAATAGCATCACTCAGTGGGAGGTCTGTGTTTAGTTACTATTGCAAGGTGAAATGTATTATCTATTTTTGTTATCCTAAATTTTTCCTAGTTGTAAGTAACAGTTGTTGGATTGGTAGTGATGTCCTTCTTAGCTCCAACATTATGTGTGTTTTAAAAACTGTAATCAGTGATATAATATCTGAATAGTAATCATACTTTACTACAAACCTGTTATCTCCTGGATCTAATATAAAATCTTCTTTAGCATTTAAAGTCCTGTACAAGTGGCCCTTCTTACTTTTTCAGTCTAATTATGCTTTACGTTTTTCTACCAACTCTCTGGTTCAGCTGTACTGGCCAACTGGCTATTCTTCAACATAACACTCCATCTCTTGACTTTGTGGTTTTCACTGACTGACCCTCAGGGGTGAAATTTCCTTTCTCCACACCTATGATAACCTAGCTTTCCTGTCTTCCTTCAAGATGACTTCAAACCTTTCCTTCTGCAGGAGCCCTTCCCCAGTTCTCTCTACCACTATTAGTACCTTCCTTCTGAGATTACCTGCTATATACTCTCAATAAATCTTACATATATGTAGTTATTTATATGTTGTCTCCTCCATTAGAATGAACTCCTTAAGGGTAAGTACTGTACTTTTACCTTTCCTTTTAACCCCAGTGCCTAGCATATATAAGTGCTTAATAAATTCTTATTGACTAACTTATTGACTGTGTTCCACCCCACACATCAATTTTTTCCTACCTCTAAGGCAAGGGTTCTTAACCTTTATTCTTTCATGGATCCCTGTGGCAATGTAGTGAAACCTATGGACTCTTTCTCTGAATAAAGTTTTTTTTGTTTTTTGTTTTTTGACAAGGTAATTGAAGTTAAGTGACTTGCCCAGGGTCACACAGCTAGTAAGTGTCATGTGTCTGGTCTGAGATTGGATTTGAACTTAGGTCTTCCTGACTCTAGGGCTGGTGCTCTATCTACCTGCGCCACTGCCTGCCCTTCTGAGTAAAATTTTTAAATTGCATAAAACAAAATATATAGAATTTTAAAGGAAACCAATTATATTGAAATAAAGATGTATTTTTTTCCCCATTGGAGTCCATGGACCCCATGAAATCTATCCGTAGACCCTTTGGGGAACTTTGGACTATGCAATTCCACTATGCACTGTGGAATTCCAAATGATGACTTAATTCTTTGTTTAAACTAAAATGTCCTACAGTTATAGCATTTCAATATGTCCATCCCCATCTTCAAATCTGTTTTAAGATTAATTTCTTTGGTGAAATTTTTCATGATCTTACATCATCTTTCTCATTTAGCCCTTGTGTTTGCTTGACCATATGTAAATTGTGTACTTTATACAATATTACAACTGTAATGTCTTGTATGTGCCTCTTGATCTCTTATATTTTTGTATTTGTGTTGCCTACCTCCTTAGTAATCAAAGCTTGAAGTTCAGATTTTGAGCTGGAAGGGACATTTAAGCCCGTTTCATCCAGATAGTCTGGTGAAGCCAGTGAACTTCTCAGAGCAGTGTTTTAGGTGCATAAAATAAAATATATAGGATTACAAAGGAAACCATTTTTGTGGAAATATAGTTATTGAAATATTAAAAAGACAAATCGATAGACCCTAGGTTAAGAATTGCTGATCTAAGGGGCAGCTAGGTGGTGCAGTGGATAGAGCACCAGCTCTGAAGTCAGGAGGACCTGAGTTCAAATGCAGCCTCAGACCAAACACTTGACTCTTATAGCTGTGTGACCCTGGGCAAGTCACTTAACCCTAATTGCCTTAAGAAAAAAAAAAAAAGAATTGCTGATCTGCTCCAACTCTGTACAATTCTTCTAAGGCATAATTCACAGAATTCTGCACCACAGAATCAGGAAGACTTGTGTTCAAATCCTGTTTCTGACACTATCTTTGTGACCAAATAATTCAGATGTTCTGAGCCTCAATTTCCTCATCTATAAAATGGTGATAATCGTACCAGTGTTGTGTACCTCACAGGGTTTGTTGGTTGTAAATCTCAAATGAGATAATGTATATAGAACGCATTTTCAAATTTGAAGATGGTTTGTAAATGCTAGCGTTTATTATAATTATTTATATCTACCATGGTGCCAAGTTTTTTTGCCATGCTTTTACATCTGTTATTCAGTAGATATTATTAACTAATTAACTGATCATAGAGAGAACTTGAATTTTCATTTTATATGTTAAATAACCTGTGTGTTTTTCCATATGTGTTAAGGGGAAAAAATAAATTTCTTATACAATAGTCTTTAGATGTTTAAAAAAATAGTTTCCTAAATTTATTAGTAATCTCTAGCTTTACCAGTAGAACCTGTAATAAGACTTCAACTTAAGTTTCTCCTCTAAGACAATATGTGAGAGTCCCTAGACATTTGAAAAGGGGGTCTCAGGCCTGTTTCTGTAAATTGTTATTGCATGTCAGTCACACAGGTTTCAACTTATGAACTAATTCAGGCGCTGAAATAAGTAGATAATTAGTGTGGTCTGTGTATCTGAAATAATATTGAAAATGAATTACTTTCTTGTCTGTCTTTCTTTTTGAGAATGAAGAATGAAAATCTCTTTAAGGAAAATTTTCTATTATGTTAACTTCTCTCCTTTGCCCTTATCCCTTCATTCTTCATATTGAATCATTTGTAATATTTAACATTTTTATATAGATATTATATAATAATTTTAAATCAGGGCTTCATGACTAAAGTGGAAATATGTTTAATATGATTGTACTTGTAAAGCCTGTATCAGATTGCATGCTGTCTTGGGGAGGGGAAAGAGGGAGAAAAAAATTTGGAACTCAAAAATCTTATAAAAGTGAATGTTGAAGGGGCAGCTAGGTGGCGTAGTGGATAGAGCTTCGGCCTTGGAGTCAAGAGAACCTGAATTCAAATCCAGCCTCAGACACTTGACACTTACTAGCAGTGTGACCCTGGGCAAGTCACGTAACCCTGATTGCCTCACCAAAAAGGGAAAAAAAAAACTGAATTTTGAAAACTATCTTTACATGTAATTGGAAAAAAATAAAATATTACTAAGTAAGGAAAAAAACTAAATATTGAAAACTATCTCTATATGTAATTGGAAAAAATAAAATACTATTAAGTGAGAAAAAAATAAACTAATCAAATCATAGATCCAGTGCCTATTCAAATGCAAAAAATAAATAAATAAATCAGAGCCTTAGTTGAGGACAATATACAATGTCCTGTACAAATAATTTTCATACACTTAATTTCTTCAACTGATTTATGTCCATGAGGAAGCCTAGAATTTTTAGTTCACTAGTTGCTGTAATTTGATTCACGTATTGTACTATTTACCTTTAAAACTAAACAGTCTTGTTCTCTTTGACAATTAGGCAAAATATAAAGAAGTAAAAGCAAGAAATGCTCAGTTATTGAAAATGTTACAAGAAGGTGAAAGTAAGTAATTTGTATCTTTATATGTTTTCTAGATTTAGAACAATCATATTTGGGATATTTCATATTTTTAAAATATAATTTATAAATTTAACAGTATTGACCCACAGAGAGATTCCAAAACATCATACTTAATCATTCCTGATCATTCAGCTTTTACTAGTCATGCTTGAAAGACTTCACTACCTTACAAGATAATATACACTAAATAGGATCTTTGAATTTCACTTTCTTAGAAATTATTGAACTATTACCTATAGAGAGATTCTTAAGCAGATATACTTTCTGAAGACACTGCTTCTTTTAGTTCTGAGGGAAGAGAAGCAATTGAAGGGGGTGGGCAGCCAGAGTTAAGTGACTTCTGAGTCACACAGCTAGTAAGTGTCTGAGGCTGGATTTGAACCCAGGTCTTCCTGACTCCAGGGCTGGTGCTCTATCCAGCTTCACCACCTATGTGTTCAAGAGAAGCAGTTTTTTGACCAGTGATGAACATTAATGTTTCTACACCAACAGTAAGCTCCCGTGTTTGTGGAGGATAGGCAACCATGAACCTTTAACAACAATGTGATTTGAGAGTGGATTGTTTATTCTTGTGTATGTATGAAAGAGTTTTCCTTCTGAAAATAATTTATCAATAAATTCTTGTTTTCTATCTGTCCTTGAATTTTTTGACCGTGCTGATTGGCCACGGTGCATGTGGGTAAGCTCATGAATAGTATTTTTGAACCCAGGATTAGTCTTTTGGGCAGCTTCGTCTTGACAGACATTCAGAAAACTTAAGATTTAAGAGACAGATATATCCTGACTCCTGTGCTGTGTGCTTGACAGTTTTAAGAACTCTTCTGTTTTTTTTTTCCTTTTTGTCAGTGAAAGATAAAGCAGAAATACTTCTTCAAGTTGATGAATCACAAAGTATCAAAAATGAGCTAACCCTACAGGTAAGGAAATTTGTGATATCTATTTAAAGTATAGCCGTAGTACAAATAAGGCTTTGCTGTAGGGTGCTGATATGAGTCAGGGAAGGGGTTTTGGGGGAAGAGTTTTCCTCCATGTAGTAAACACCATGTTTACCGTGCAGTCTTCTGACCCACACTTTTGAGGTTCAACTTCCCTGGATCCATTCCCACAGAGTCTTATCACCATGGTGTCCCTTTTGCAGGATCCACATTTTGCTTTAAATCTCATGGGGTTTTAGTCCCTCCATGCCTGTACAGCTACTGCCAACTTCATTTTGAATTAACGATCCTCTTTCCAGCCAGGGACAAGGGCTTCAGTGCCTCTCTCTCTCTCGGCACATCACACATCCATACCTGCAGTCAAACTTCCTTCCGTGCCACCATTGGCTACTCTGCCCTTGAAAACTATTTTTTACTCTAGAGAAAATATTCTGAACTATAGCTCTGTTAAAATATAAAATGTACATGACTAATGTGAAAATGTGTTTAACCTTCACGTGTATTGATATCACATTTCTTTCCTTCTCAAGGAAGAGGTGGGAAGGAGGGAGAGAATTTGGAGCTCAAAATTTTTAAAACTGACTGTTTACATGCAATTGGGAAATGGTTAATGAAATAATGAAATAAATAAAAATGTTAACATAAAACAGAATATACTGCACCTTAGTTTCTTTAATAGAGTGAGGGGTTGAACTGGATGGCTCTGAGGTCCCTTTCCAACCTTAAATCTGAATCTGTCCTTGGAATTACGAAGTCCTTTCACTGTCTGCTAAAAAATGAGTTGTTACGAGGTGTTTTTCTTCTGTTGAGCTCGCTATGACGTGTGTGTGTGTGTGTGTGTGTATTTGTTTAAAAATCATTCTTAGGGGCAGCTAGGTGGAGCAGTGAATAGAGCTCCAGCCTTGGAGTCAGGAGTTCAAATCCAGCCTCAGACACATGACACTTACTAGCTGTGTGACTCTGGGCAAGTCACTTAACCCCAATTGCCTCATCACAAAAGAAAAGAAAAGAAAAGAAACAAAAATCATTCCTGTCAGTCACTATTAACATTCCTTACAATAGTCATTTTTTAAAAAGGGGGACTTTTTTTCTCATCGATTGTTTGGGTTGCAGGTGACTTCACTTCATGCTGCATTAGAGCAAGAAAGATCAAAAGTGAAGGCATTACAAGCAGAATTAACAAAATATCAGGTAAGCCTGTTATGATTCTGTGGATGATTTCATGAGGATCCCAGATTGAGAGGTGGAAAGAACCTTAGAGACCATCAGTCCCAACCTCCTCATTTTACAGATGAGGAAACTGAGACATAGAGGTTAGATTGCATAGCTTAAATTTTAAGTAAGGTATCTGTGAGAAACAAATTTTGTGTGAAGGTTAAATTTTATTCATTTTACCAAATATATTACAGAATTGAATACTATCCAGATAAAAATTTAAAAATTTGCTAAGGCTATAGCTATGAATACAAGTAGAAATAACTAAGGGAACTCAGTAAGAGTCTAAGAAACATTAAAAGATTTTGCTTTCAACTCAGGAGAAAGCAGTAATGGCATTCAGAATTTTATGAAATATTTTATTTTTAAAGATGTCTGCAATATATCCCCTCAACCAAAGTCCTACTACTGTGCTAATTGTGATATAGAGGTCACCTTGGGTATTCAGAGGCCATGCCAGTGGTACAAGCTCTGTCATATATTTACCAAACTAGAAACCCATAACAGACTGTGCATCTTTATCTGAGAACCAGTCTCTAGCTGAGCTCAGAGTCTCATGGCGGTTCGTCATGGGATGAAGAATTTTTATCCAGTAGATAAATTTATAGAGGGGTATAAGCATAAGTGAAAGGAGTTCCTATACTAGTAAAATTATAGATGCTTGGAGTGTTGAAGTATATTAAGTGTAGAAGTACATTAAGTATGAAGAAATGAGGAAAGCTAAGAGTGATTTATTTTTAGCTTCCACAGATTGTTAATCTACCCACAATTCGTTACACAGCAATCATTTCCTTATCTAAAGAGTTTGTAGATAAAAGTGTATAAAGTTGGAAGAATAAAATTTTATTTTAGCCCATATTTGAGAGCTTCATAGGTGTGTGATGTGTGTATATGTGGTTTTTATTTTAAAATGTAAAAAGTATTTAAAAATCTGTTAGTAACAAAATCTTTTGGAGGAAAAAAGTGCACACTCTTTCAAATATAGTTACTGGTCAAGAAGTTAGGGGGTGGGCTGCTTCTCAACTGAGATCAGTAGCAGTGGCTTTTTGTTGGGTAGAGGAGCCTTTGTAGCCTGCAACAGCCCCACCCACTACCATTATGTAAACCCTCCCTGTAAAACTCGAGGTTGGAGCAGGCCCACCTTTTTTTACATTAGAGCTAGGTTCCTGTCCATGGCCTGGAAAGCCCAGGACCAGTGAAAATTGTGCTGCCAAGGTGCTCCCCAGGCTACAGCCCTAGCTTTGAAGTTTGCCAGCCCAGGGAGAAGGGACTGCCTTCGCCTGGGAGGCCTTGGGACAGGCACTTGATCCAGGCCTCTGCCTATAGAAAAACTGTTGCCAGTTGAGAAGCAAGGTAAGAGTTTTATGCTATATGAGCATGCACCTAGTTTGCATAAAATATACCTCACTGAGCTTTCCTTCTTATGGGGGAAGTCAATTCCATTTTTTCCCTGATTACATTACATAGATTAGTGATTCCAAATGTTTCCTTCCACAATTCACAAAGGTCTTGAGCATCTCTCATGGCTCACATCAACTTTTCTCATACCTTTCCTTTAAAAAAAGAAAAAAGCATAGTAGGATTTTCATCCATTTAAAAATTATTTGAGGGCAAAGTTTATTAGTGAATACTTCCTAAATATTCCTGAATGGTTGTTGACAAGAAGGGAACACAGAAGCAGAGCAGCAGAAAAAGAAGCAGCAATCAGACCCCAGGTGAGTGTGTAGAAAGAGTAGAAGATGCTGCCACTCCGAACAAATAGCAAGTCTGAGACTGATGTGACCCAGTAATACTTAATAATACATAGCCAACATTTTAAGAAGCATATTGCACTAAATGATTTTAAAATTAACCTTTTAACTGGAAACTAGTCTTGTTTAAAAGCCTTGAAAAGTAATTATTTCATGGCATTTTTAGACCTTAACTATTTTTCTTTTGCCTAAATCCAATTCAGTAAGGTTTTTGCTCTATGTGTAAGGGATTAAGTGTGGCTGTATTGTTTCGATTTTTTTAATCTTGATGTTGTAGAAAAGAGAAAATTTGCCCTTTAAAAATAATATAGTAGTTACGAAAGCATAGAACTTACTAAGTCATCATGGTTCAAGTTGATAAAACTGTCCCAAAAGCCACTTAAACCTGTGAAAATGTTCAACTAAAATTTTTCATAGAAAAGGTATACAAGCTCAAGTTTAAATTGAACTCAGAGAAGCTACCTTTTCCTCATACTAGAAATTTACTTAATCATGATTATTCTTAAAATGAAAATACCCAAAGAAGAAAATTCTTAAATAATTTGCTTTATTTTTCTTTACAGGGTGGCAGAAAAGGGAAAAGAAACTCCGAGTCTGACCAGTGTAGGTGATCACATTAGCCATTGAGAGATCAGCATACACACACACACACACACACACACACGCACACGCACATGCACACGCACACACACATGCACGCACACACACATGCACGCACAAACTTTTCAGGGTTTTGAAAAAATGTATATATTTAATGCTGTACAACTGCTGAACTATGCAGTTTTTGTTGGGGAAAAAAACTAAAAAGACTAATTGGTTAACCATCTAAAAATATTTCATTTTTCTGTTGGTTTAAAGTGAAAAGTAGGAAAGTAGAATTCCAGAAAAACTCAGTGATTATTTCTGTTTACTGTCCATGCTCATCACTTTAGTTTTTCATCAGTCAATAAAATTTACTCTTCCATTTGTATGTTTGATTTGTTTTTTTAAGGTCCCAGAAATGTGTGGAAGTATTAGCTTAGAGTTTATCGAGATAAACTACATTAGACCAAAGCTATGATTGCTGCTGTTTATCTGCTTGATGTTTTTATAGTTGTTTAAAATTAATTTAATACAGTAGAATGCCATTATAGTGACTCAATGTGAGACAGATTTACCCATGCCCTTGCAGGAATTATGCCCCTCAAAAGGTAACTGCTAAGTACAAGATGGGTTATGGAGATAGAGGGATACAGATAAGGCCTGGATCTGTGATTTCATTGGTCTGGAGAACTCCCAGATGAGGAAACTGCCACTATCATTGCAGCTTATCATGTTCTCAGCAACTTTGAGTCCTAAGAATCATCTGAAACCTTGAGGGGTTAAATGACTCCCCACAGTAATACAGCCAAGTGTATATTAAAGTCAGGACTTGAACTCAGATCTTCCCGGCTTTGAGGTCCACTTTATCCATCATGCCACACTGCCTGAATTCATGTTATATCTACACACGTACATACATATGTATGTAGGTGTGTATGTGTATGTATATATATACATATATATACACACATATACATATATGTATGAGAGAAAGCTGAACAAGAAATGTTAGTCTTCTTTGTCAAATTCAGTAGTTCTACTTTAATATGGCACATGAACCTATTTTGCAAAATACAATTATAAAATAAATACAAATGGCATATAAGACTACAGTCCTGGCGCTGAATAGGCCCTCAGCAGCCACCTCGTCTAATCCCCTTGTCTCACAGATTCCACAATTTAAAGCAAGAAACATTGAGTGACTTCCCTTAGGTTACATAAGTAGTAAGTGGTGAAATTGGGATAAAGGTAAAGTTAAATGGAAAGGTAATAAAAGGAGAGACAGAGTCATTATATACAGTGTGCCCCTGATGTGATCATCTTTACTCAGGAGCCATTTGCTCTTAGTAACTAATTGGCAGTGTGCTTGGGTTGCAATTCGATCCTACAATTCTTTTCTTCACATTCTCAAATTTTACAGGATAGTAGGTAGGGAAATATTAGACATGTACACAGATGGTGTAAAAATAAGTTGTACAATGCTGTGACAGTTCACAGGATGAAAGGATCAGTTTTTGGTTGATCCTTTGAATTAGGGCAAGTTGTGTGGGAAACACGGAGCTTGAGCTGGACCTTGAAGGGAGAATCATATGTAAACTGCAAGAGACTTGAGGCCTCAGGAGCAGAAAAAACAAGAGCTTAAAGGTGAGGACATGCACCGTGGAAAACTGGTTTGACTAAAGTACTGGAAATAGGAAGCAAGGAGTACTGAAATGAGGTTTAAAGAACAGATTGGGTTTAGGTCATGAAAGATTTTGACTCTCAATTTAATGAATTTGAACTTTGTGAGGCAGTAGAAGACAATATCATGAGACCTATGCATTGGAACGGTTAATGACTATTACACAGTCGTCAAGGAAAAAGGGAAATGACCAGAACAGTGTGGGAGGGAATGGAGAATGGAGAGAAGATGAATGGGAGAAAGATGGAGATAGAATTGATAGCACTTAACCATTGATTGGATATTAGGTGTCAAAGATGAGTAGAGATACTAAAGTGTGGGTTTCTGGAAAAATCAGAGTACTGTTAACAATAGGTAAGTCAGAAGAATTACCGCATTCTAGGAAAAGAAGAAGAATTTGGTTTGGGACATGCTGAATTGAATGTACTGGTAGGACACCAGCAGGCAAATAGATATTTGGAAACACATACGAAACTTGAATAAGAGCACTGAGGAATAGAGGGAGGGCCAAGAACATTCCTCCTTTCAAAATGGGTGAGGGGGAAGCAGGGAGACACTCAAAGAAGGAAAGCCACTTAATGTGGTTGGATAATGTTAAAACCATGCTAGAAGTTCAAGTCGCTACTGATTCTAAGTGCCCTTTTCTACAAAGGGATTTTGCTACCCCCAAGTTGTTGTGCTCTTCCCCCACTTCCTAAAAAAGTTTTCTTGTATTTACTTAGTATGTGTTTTGTGTTTACTTCCCCAGGTACATGTTTCCTCCAGTGAAATGTAAATAACTTTTGAGGGCTTTGTATGGCTAGTATTTAGCATAGTGCCATGCTTAATGGACTTAGTTGAATTGAATTGAACCTTAGGAAAGTCTTCATTGAAGGATGAGAGGAGGAACAGTAGAAGCTAAGAGAGGAGAGATGATCCAAAAAGAGAACATAAGGCTTCAGAAGGTCCAGGAGAATGAGAACTAAGAAAAAGCTATTACAGTTAGGGAGCTAAAGGTCACTGATAACATCTGAGAGCAGTTTCAATCAGGTATGAGGGATGAAGCCAGAATGCCAAGCATCGAGTGAAAAGTGGATGTGGCACCTTACAGACCATGAGAGAGTAACAGGATCAAGAGAATGTTTTGTGTAGGGGGCTAGAAAAGATTAAATGTTTAAAGAGGTGTAGAGATTGTAGACACAGAAAAAAAAATGAGCAGTTGAGCAGAGTCCGAGCCAGGGTAGAAGTAGAGGGGGATGAGGAGCAAGTCAAGAAGTTAGCGGGATAAGTAGGAGGACCACTTAGGAGAGAACTTGTGTTGGATACCTTATACCTTATTTCCTACGTTTCCAGGGTGAGAGTGAGGAGGCCTCAGAGTAGAGAGTTTGAGAAGAGAAGAGTGGGCAAGTTTTGAATAGCAGCTATGAAGAATTAGGTAATGGAAGAAGAATAAAATAATTGCTGAAGGTCTCTGAGGCCAAGGTGAAGTTATGTATCATGACTAACATAGAGCGCAAGTCAGAAATGAACTGGTTTGACCAAAACAAAGTGCTTTAGTCTATCTCTGCTCTCAGCTTTAATATTATCATTGAAAGTATTCTACAAGTGTAAGTGTTCTCAAAAGAAATTTGTTATCTCTGGCCCAGCAGTTCTGGATTCTCAGTATACACAGACCAAGGCTGATATTGGGTGCTTCCTCCTTAAAACTCTGGCTAATTATGCTTCCTCCCAGAGTTTTCTCTGGGAAATTTCCAGTTAAGTTTCTACATCTCACACAAGCACTGAAGGTAACAAATGGAGGAGTCTGTTGTTCAGGTACTCTTCCCACTTCAAGGAATTGCAGGTGTCCAAGCCAAGTAATTAATCCATAATCATTGACATCCTTCAGTATGATAGTTTGGGTAATCAATAGAATGTCATTAATGAATTGAAGTAATGTAAGAATTTTAATGTGAGCTCATAGACTGATTATAGAAGTAATAGTGGAAACAGCAAGTATGATCAGCATTTAACCTTGGGATTTCTTTTATGGCCTCTCATATACAGCAACTTCTACCTTTTTGAACTTGACATTACTTGCTAAAACTGTAGTGAATGTGTTTCATTGTTTCATTTCATTATAGTGAGTATGTTTCATTTTGTTCTCACCTAGCTGAAGCAACTAGTCTAATCTAATAATACTATGTACAAGGTACATAGGTACTACTAGATACTGTGTTCTACTGGGGGGGTATAGCATTTGCACAGATAAATAAAAATAATGAAAAGAGGAAGAACTAACAACTAGGAAGGTCAGGATAACCTTCCTTTGGGACAGGATTCTTAACCTTTTTCATCATGGCAAAGTATGAAGCCTATAGATTCCTTCCTAGAATGAAGTTTTCTAATGTACTGAATAATAATATGCCTAAGATTGCAAAAGAAACCAATTAAGTTGAAATATGATTATCAAAAACATTTTTTGAAGTTCATGAATTCCAGATTAGGAATCCTATTGTAGGAATGGGTACCTGAGTTGAACCTTAATAGAAGGTAAGGATTATAGGATTCAGAAGTTAGGTATTAGTATGTTGCAGACATGCAGTACAGCCAGCTCAGAGTCATGGAGGCAGGGAATAGAATTTCAGGTTTGGGGTAATAGTTTGACTGGAATATAGGGCCATATATGAAGAGGAGTAATATAGAAGCTACAGCCATATTGAAAGACTGAAATTTGTATTTTAGCCTAGAAGTAGTAAGGAGCTTTTCAGGGAAAAGAACGATGACTTGTATTTTAAAATTATTTTGACGTATTTGGAGGATTGTTTGGAGAAGAGAGAAATTGGAAGCACGGGTGAATTAAAATAGTATTGCATTGGGCAGGTAGGTGTCGCAGTGGATAGAGTTCTGGCCTTGGAGTTAGGAGGACCTGAGTTCAAATCCGGCCTCACACACTTGACACTTAGTAGCTGTGTGACCCTGGGCAAGGCATTTAACCCCCATTGCCCCCACACACACACATACACAAGGCAAAAAAAAAAAAAATCCTATTGCATTAGTTCAGGAGATGGGTAATAAGTGCCTGAATGGGGACAGTGACTATGGGAGAGTACAAGACAGATTAGAAGGAATTTATAAACCTCTATGTAAATATCAGCTAGACTTGGTAACTGATTGGGTATGGGGTGATGGGGTTAGGGAGAAGGAAGTGTAGAGGCTCAATCTTAGGTTGCTAACCTGAGTGACTGAAAGTATGTTAGTGGGGGCAGCTAGGTGGTGCAGTGGAGTTAGCACCATCCTTGGAGTCAGGAAGATCTGAATTCAAATCCGGCCACAGATACTTGACACTTGCTAGCTGTGTGACCCTGGGCAAGTCACTTAACCCCATTGCCTAGCCAAAAAAAAAAAAAGTATTTTAGTGGTTAGTAGTCCTGGTAGAAACAGAATTATGAAAGAGCGTTGGGTTTGGGTGGGATGATAATTCCATATTGGACACACAGAGTTTGAGATGCCCATAGCACATTTAGGTGCATAGTATATCAGAAAAGTTCCTTATTTGAAAGTCAGGTAACCATCATGTAGAACCAGTTTTTACTAATAAATGTCATCTAAGTATGTGTGAAACAATTAAATTATGATTTATCATTGTCATAAGACAAAACTTGCCACATTATATAGGTGGGTGTTAAAATAAAACTTCATCTCTGTTGCTATTACAAGGTAATCTATTCTTTAATTATGTA